TTCTGTCCCTGTCCCCTGTTTCTGTCTCTTCCCCCTGTCCCCTGTCCCTGTCCCCTGTCCCTCCCCCTGTCCCTGTCCCCTCCCGGGTCTGTCCCCTGCCAGGTTTGTCCCCGAGCCCCCCCGCGGTGACAAAGGACACGGCGGGGCTGGCCCGGGCCGCGCTGTGTCCCTGTCACGTGGCTTGGGGACAGCAGCGGTGACCTCCCCGTGGCCAGATAAGCGCGGGGACAGCCTGGCAGGGCTGGCACGGGGCTGGCACCGCGCCGGGGAGCGGCCCCGGTGGCACTGCCGGCCCCGCGGGGGTGGCACGGCGGGGTCAGAGCAGGACAGTCCCCGTGCGTGTCCCCGTGTCCCCATTCCCGAGGGTTCCAGGGTCACTCAGGTGACAAACGGCGCCGAGTGTCCCCGGGCCCGGCCCGAGTGACATTCCCGAGCCTTCCAGGGGGGATTGGATCCCTGATCCTTCCCGGGATCCCCGACCCAGGTGAGGCTTTGGATCCCTGGTTCTTCCAGGACAGGGATTGGATCACAGATCCTTCCAGGGCAGGGTCTGGATCCCTGATCCTTCCAGGGCAGGGTCTGGATCCCTGGTTCTTCCAGGACAGGGATTGGATCCCAAATCCTTCCAGGGCAGGGTCTGGATCCCAAATCCTTCCAGGGCAGGGATTGGATCCCAAATCCTTCCAGGGCAGGGATTGGATCCCAAATCCTTCCAGGACAGGGTCTGGATCCCTGATCCTTCCTGGGAAGGGTCTGGATCCCAAATCCTTCCAGGCAGGGATTGGATCCCAAATCCTTCCAGGGCAGGGATTGCATCCCAAATCCTTCCAGGACAGGGTCTGGATCCCTGATCCTTCCTGGGAAGGGTCTGGATCCCAAATCCTTCCAGGGCAGGGATTGCATCCCAAATCCTTCCAGGACAGGGTCTGGATCCCTGATCCTTCCTGGGAAGGGTCTGGATCCCAAATCCTTCCAGGGCAGGGATTGCATCCCAAATCCTTCCAGGACAGGGTCTGGATCCCTGATCCTTCCTGGGAAGGGTCTGGATCCCAAATCCTTCCAGGGCAGGGATTGGATCCCAAATCCTTCCAGGGCAGGGTCTGGATCCCAAATCCTTCCAGGCAGGGATTGGATCCCAGATCTTTCCAGGCTCCCCTGATCATTCCAGGGGAGGCTTTGGCTCCCCTGAGAATTCCAGATCAGCTTTTGTTCCCCTGATCCTTCCAAGTCTGGTTCCCTGATCCTTCCAGGTGAGGATCTTGTCCCACTGATCCTTCCAGGTCTCATTCCCCTGATCCTTCCAAGTTTGGTTCCCTGATCCTTCCAGGTGAGGGATTGGATCCCTGATCCTTCTGGGTTTTGTTCCCTTGATCCTTCCAGGTGAGGATCTTGTCCCACTGATCCTTCCAGGTCTCATTCCCCTGATCCTTCCCAGGGAGGGTCTGGATTCCTCCAGGATCCCTGATCCAGGTGAGGCTTTGGCTCCCTGGTTCTTCCAGGGCAGGGATTGGATCCCTGATCCTTCCAGGATTCATTCCCTTGGTCCTTCCAGGATCCCTGATCCAGGTGAGGGATTTTGGCCCCCTGATCCTTCCACATTCCCTGATCCAGGTGAGGTTTTGGCTCCCTGGTTCTTCCAGGTTTGGTTCTCTTGATGATTCCAGGGCAGGGATTGGATCCCTGATCCTTCCAGGATCCCTGATCCAGGTGAGGGATTTTGGCCCCCTGATCCTTCCACATTCCCTGATCCAGGTGAGGTTTTGGCTCCCTGGTTCTTCCAGGGCAGGGATTGGATCCCAGATCTTCCCAGGTTTCATTCCCCTGATCCTTCCACATTCCCTGATCCAGGTGAGGTTTTGGCTCCCTGGTTCTTCCAGGGCAGGGATTGGATCCCAGATCTTCCCAGGTTTCATTCCCCTGATCCTTCCACATTCCCTGATCCAGGTGAGGTTTTGGCTCCCTGGTTCTTCCAGGTTTGGTTCCCTTGATCCTTCCAGATGAGGGTCTGGATCCCTGATCCTTGCAGGGCAGGGAGTGGATCCCTGATCCAGGTGAGGCTTTGGCTCCCAGATCTTTCCAGGAAAGGGATTCTCTCCAGATCCTTCCAGGAAGGGTTTGGCTCCCAGATCTCTGCAGGACAGGGGTTGGATCCCTGATCCTTCCAGGTTTCATGCCTTTGATCCTTCCAGGTGAGTCTGGATCCCTGATCCCTCCAGGATCCCTGATCCAGGCGAGGCTTTGGCAGCCGGAGCCACAGGGTTGGATCTGGAAGGGCAGGAATTGTTTGGGATCCCTGGAAGGACAGGGATAATTTGGGATCTCTGGAAGGGCAGGAATTGTTTGGGATCCCTGGAAGGACAGGGATAATTTGGGATCTCTGGAAGGGCAGGAATTGTTTGGGATCTGTGACCCCTCTCCCGTGTGGCCGGGCAGTGACAATTCCAGGTCTGGAAAATCCCAGTTGGGATTTTCCCAGCTCTTCCTGGGCCCATTCCCTGGGAAAAGCTTCAATCCCAGGAAAATTCCAATCCCGGGGAAAAACTCCAATTCCCAGGGAAAAGCTCCAATCCCAAAATTTCAACCCCAGGGAAAAATTCCAATCCCAGTGAAAAACTCCAATCCAATCTGAGAAATTTCCCCAAAAAAAAAAAAAATCCCCCAAAATTCCCAAAATCCTTTCCAGGTCTCCCCATCCCACTGCATTTTCCCAGGGTTCTCCCAGCTGGATTCCCTCTGGAATTTCCCTCTGAATTTCTGTTCTCTCTGGAATTTCTCTTCCCTATGGAATTGCTGTTCCTGGAATTTGGGCAAGGCTCCGGATTTATGATCCCAAAATGATGGGAAGAAGGGCAGGAAATTTGGGAATTCTGTTCCCACAGGAAAAGGAGGGAAGGAGGCTCAGCTCTGACCCACTTGGGAATGCTCAAAAATCCAGGGAATTTTCAGAAATCCAAGGAAAACACCACTGCAGGGAAAAAAAATCGTGGAATATTTTTCTAGCTCCCTTGGATGCTTTTCCAACCAATTCTTTAGGGTGGGTTTTTTTTGTTTTTTTTTATTATTTTTTTATTTTTTTTCCCTGCTGTTGGAGTGAGACTCTTTGGGCTGTAATTCCTAAAAGATTCCATGGATTCATTGGGGAAAAAAACAAAAAAAGTGGAATTTTTTGTGAGCAGAGAAGTAGATTTAAGGAGGGAAAATGACTCCGCAAAACAGAATTTGGGGAATTATTCCATCGTGGAATTTTTTCCAGCCTTTCCCAGATGGGGCCTTAAAATTATTGGGAATTAATGAGGGGTGGAAAAAGAAAAAAAAAAAAGGGAAAAATCCCAGGGATCGCCATCTGGAGCACTCCATTTGTGGGATAACGAGACAGAGAGAGAGGAAAAAATGGGAATAAATCAAATCCAGGATTTGGGAAAGGGGGGAGGAGAATTTGGGATGGGGTCGGGGCATGGATGCAAAGGGATCCAAAGGGATCCAAAGAGATCCAAAGGGTTTTTCTGTTTATCCCAGGCCATGGGGCAGGAGGATCCCGTGATTTTCCCTGTTTATCCCGATTTTTCTCCTTCCCAAGTGTGTTTTCCTGGCTGGAATTTTGGGGTTCTCCTGCTCTTTTTCCTCATCCCTCAGGGTGGGATCCCAAAGTCCCTTTGTGGGGTCCCTTTAGGGGATGGACCCTGCTGGGGGAATTCCATGGAATTCCTGGGGAGATTCCATGAGAAAAGTGGAGCTGATCCCAGAAAACTCCTGGGAGTGGGCCCTGCTCAAGGAATTCCATGGAATTCCTGGAGAGATTCCATGCAGAAGCAGGGTTGGGGTCCCAAAGTCCCTTTGTGGGGTCCCTTTAGGGGATGGATCCTACTGAGGGAATTTCGCTGGGAGAATTCCATGGAATTCCTGGAGAGATTCCATGTGAAAAGTGGAGCTGATCCCAGAAAACTCCTGGGAGTGGGCCCTGCTCAAGGAATTCCATGGAATTCCTGGAGAGATTCCATGCAGAAGCAGGGTTGGGGTCCCAAAGTCCCTTTGTGGGGTCCCTTTAGGGGATGGATCCTACTGAGGGAATTTCTTGAGAAAAGTGGGGCTGATCCCAGAAAAATCCTGGGAATGGGCCGTGCTCAGGGAATTCCATGGAATTCCTGGAGAGATTCCATGTGAAAAGTGGAGCTGATCCTGGAAAACTCCTGGGAATGGGCCCTGCTGGGGGAACTTTGGGATCCAGGGGTCCCCTTTGAGATTTCTTGTGGGGAATTTCTCCTTCCTGAGGGACATTCCAGAGGCTCCCTGTGGGAATGTCCGTGTCCATCCTGGGGATCCTTTCCCAAGGGATGATTCCTGCTGGGAATGGGAGTTCCAGGAGTCCCTTCCCAGGTTTCTCCATCCTTGGGAATGCCCTTTCTGGGGGGACATTCCAGAGAGTCCCAGTGGGAATGTCCATGGAGAGAGTGGGAGTTCACTCCTGGACCTTTCCTGACAAACGACCCTTCCTGGGGCATTCCAGAGGGTCCCTGCGGGGCTGTCCCTGTCCATCCTGGGGATCCTTTCCCAAGGGATGATTCCTGCTGGGAATGGGGTTCCAGGGTCCCTTCCCAGGTTTCTCTATCCTTGGGAATGGCTCTTCCTGGAGGGACATTCCAGAGGGTCTGTGTGGAGGTGTCCCTGTCCATCCCGGGGGTCCCTTCCCAGATTTCTCCTTAGGAATGGCCTTTCCTGGGTGCTCATTCCAGAGGGTCCCTGCGGGGCTGTCCCTGTCCATCCCGGGGGTCCCTTCCCAAATTTGTCCTTAGGAATGGCCTTTCCTGGGGGGACATTCCAGAGGGTCCCTGCGGGGCTGTCCCTGTCCATCCCGGGGGTTCCCTTCCCAGATTTCTCCATCCTCCGCTTCCCGCGTTCTCTCCCACGCGTCCTCCCCAGTCCCGGGGCTCCCTCTCGGGGGTCCGGGATGCCGCTCCCGGGGCTGTCCCGCCGCCCCGCTGCCCGCTCGCTTCCCCCCGCAGGGCCCCGGGCGGGCGCGGTGCCGCTGCGGGAGCGGGAGCGGAGCGGGCGCGGGCGCCGTCAGCAGCGGGGAGCCGAGCCCCGGCCTGCGGGAGGAGCCGCGCCTGGAGCCGGCCCGCGGCCCCGCCGGGCCCCGCTCGCCCAAGCTGGCGGCCCCGGCGCGCATGGAGGAGCCCGCGCCCGGCGCCATCGTGGTGCGCATCGGCATCCCCGACCTGCAGCAGACGGTGAGTGCGGGGGGAGCCACCGGGCACCGGGAGGGAGGGAGGGACGGAGCCCCGAGCGGCCGCCGCCGAGCCGGGATGCGCAGCGGGACCGTGCCTGAAACCGGGATGCGCACCGGGACCGGGACCGCAGCCGGGATGCGCGGCGGGACCGTGCCTGGAGCCGGGATGCGCACCGGGACTGCGCCGGGATGCGCACCGGGACCGTGCCTGGAGCAGGGATGCGCAGCGCGAGCCGCACCGGGAGCGCCACCGCGAGTCACCCGCGCCGGGATGCGCAGCCCAGAGCGGCCCCGATCCGCATCCAGAGCAGCCCTGACCTCGCTCAGAGCGGCCCAGACCGGTCCCGACCCTCGCTCAGAGCGGCCCCGATCCGCGCCCCGGTCCGCTCGCGGTTCGGCGCCCACCGGCACTGACCGCCGCCCGCATCCCGCCCGCTCCCGGCCCCGCTGCCGCCCCGGCAGCACCGGCAAACTTCTCCCCGCCACGGGCCCGGCAGGACGGGTCCCATTGCCCGGGTCCCCGCGGCCCCGGGTCCCCGGTGTCCCCACGCCGGTGTCCCCCAGTCCCGCAGTGCCATCCCGGGGTGCTGCGGTGCGGTCGCAGCGCGGGGCTGCTCCCCGCCCCGGGGGTCCGCACCCACTGGGATAGGGCTGGGACCAGAACTGGGACTGGGAACGGGACCGGGACCGGGATTGGGATCGGCTCCGGGACCAGGATTGGGACTGGGAGCAGGCTGGGAATGGGCAGTGGGGGCGGCTCCAGTGCCGGCCTGGAACTGGGAGCAGCTCCGGGACTGGGATTGGGACCAAACTGGGATTGGGAGCGGCTCCAGAACCGGGACTGGGACCGGGACCAGGCTTTGGGGCCATGGCACTGGTGTGTGACGGTCACTCATGTCCAGGGTGCTGGGTGCTCAGCTGGGCTGGACACTGGAATGGTGTGGTGGACACTGGAATGGGGTGGTGGACACTGGAATGGTGTGGTGGACACTGGAGTGATGTGATGGACACTGGAATGGTGTGGGGTGATGGGCACTGGAGTGGGGTGATGGGCACTGGAATGGGGGGGACATGTGCCAGTGCCATTGGTGGGATGTGCTGGAGTGACCCCTGGAGGTTCAGGACTGACCCTGAGAGTCCAGGAGAGAAGTCCAGGAGTGGCCCCAAGGAACTCAGGAGTGACCCCCAGAAATCTAGGAGTGACCTCAGGAGTGACCCCTGGAGTGACCCCAGAGGGATCCCAGGAGTGACCTCAGGAGTGACCCCCTGGAAGTCCAGGAGTAATCCCAGGAGTGACCCCGCGGCTCCAGAACCGGGACTGGGACCGGGACCAGGCTTTGGGGCCATGGCACTGGTGTGTGACGGTCACTCATGTCCAGGGTGCTGGGTGCTCAGCTGGGCTGGACACTGGAATGGTGTGGTGGACACTGGAATGGTGTGGTGGACACTGGAATGGGGTGGTGGACACTGGAATGGGGTGGTGTGGTGGACACTGGAATGGGGTGGGGGTGATGGGCACTGGAGTGATGTGATGGACACTGGAGTGGGGTGATGGGCACTGGAGTGGGGGGGACATGTGCCAGTGCCATTGGTGGGATGTGCTGGAGTGACCCCTGGAGGTTCAGGACTGACCCTGAGAGTCCAGGAGAGAAGTCCAGGAGTGGCCCCAAGGAACTCAGGAGTGACCCCCAGAAATCTAGGAGTGACCTCAGGAGTGACCCCTGGAGTGACCCCAGAGGGATCCCAGGAGTGACCTCAGGAGTGACCCCCTGGAAGTCCAGGAGTAATCCCAGGAGTGACCCCAGGAGTGACCCCCTGGAAGTCCAGGAGTGACCCCAGGAGTGACCCCGGGGTGACCAGGAGGGCACAGCCCTGGTGAGGGCTCAGCGGGGCACGGGGATTCAGGAACCCGGAATTCCCTGGAATTGGGGGATTTGCAGGGAACGAGAAGCAGGAAAAGCTGGAGGGCCGCGGTGGTGGGGTAATTAACAGCCCTCGTTAGGGGAGGTGACAGAGCTGAGGTGGCCAGGGTGGGGTGACAGGGCTGGGCTGAGCAGAGGGCACCGAGGGCGGCCAGAGCCTCTTGGACAGGAAAATTCTCTTGGGGCCTGGCGTGGGATCAGGAATTCCATAAAACTCAGGTTATGGAATTCCCGTCTTTTCTCCGGGAACCTCCAGCTGGGATTTGAAAGTCCCGGGAAGTTTTCCAGCCCTCCTGGAATTGTCTCCACCCCTCTTTGAGGATCCCAACTCCACTGGGTTTGCTCATCCCGAATCCTTGGAATTACTTGGAAGTGCTGGAATTCCCAGGTGCAAATGGGAATAAAGTGCTGGAATTCCCTGGAATTCCCAGGTGCAAATGGGAAAACTCCCCCCAGTTTTCCTGGGAATAAAGGGCCTTTTCCATTGGTTTTCCATCCCGGTTTTTATCACCTGCACCTGAGCCAGGGAAGAGGGCTGAAATTTCCCACACCTGGAAAATCCTGGGCAAGCTCCTGGTGGAGCTGCTCCAGGGAGCTGCCATTCCCCAAACCTCTGGAATTGCTCCCAACCCTCGGCATTCCAGAGCTCCGGAAAAGTTTGGATGACGCTGGCAGGTGCCGGAGCTCAGGAAAATTTGGGATAATGCCCCGAGGTCGGTGCTGGGAATGTTGGGATTGTTTTGTGCAGGGCCAAGAGTTGGACTTGGGGATCCCGGTGGGGACGGTTTCCAGCTTGGAATATTCTGGAATTCCATGGGAATGGGGACGTTTTGCAGGGAGTGGGGATATGGGAAATGAGGAATTTTTGGGGTCTTTCCTCCTCTTTTCTCCTTGCCAAGTGTCCTGTGGGGTGGTGGGATCCCAATTCCCGGTTCTCCCACTCGGATTGTGGATGCAGGAGGATGGATTTTGCTGAGGTGTCCAGGGGATCTGGAATGTTCTGGAGTGTCCTGAGGTGTCCAGGTGGGAGGTCAGGAATGTTCTGGAATGTCCTGAGGTGTCCAGGTGGGAGGTTGGGAATGTCCTGAGTGTCCAAGCAGAGCATCTGGAGTGTCCTGAGGTGCCCAGGGGTTCTGGGATGTCCGAGCAGGTCTGGAATGTCATGGCATCTCCTGAGGTGTCCAGGGGGTCTGGAATGTTCTGGAATGTGCTGGGGAGTCCAGGTGGACGTCGGGACTATCCTGGAATGTCCAAGCAGGTCTGGAAGGTCCTGGAGTGTCGGGAAGGTTGGGAAGCTGAGGGGTGTCCCACTGATCCCAGAGCAGCATTCCAGGGAATCCATGGAATGTCCCAGTGATCCCAGTGCAGCATTCCAGGGAATCCATGGGATGTCCCAGTGATCCCAGAGCAGCATTCCAGGGAATCCATGGAATATCCCAGTGCTGGATTCCAGGGAATCCATGGGATGTCCCAGTGATCCCAGTGCTGATTCCAGGGAATCCATGGGATGTCCCAGTGATCCCAGTCTGGATTCCAGGGAATCCATGGAATGTCCCAGTGATCCCAGTGCTGATTCCAGGGAATCCATGGAATGTCCCACTGATCCTGTGCTGGATTCCAGGGAATCCATGGGATGTCCCACTGATCCCAGTGCAGCATTCCAGGGAATCCATGGGATGTCCCAGTGATCCCAGTGCTGATTCCAGGGAATCCAGCCATGATCCAGGATCCAGTCTCAGCCTGGAGCTCCAGGTGTTTCCCATCCCAGAGTTTTTCCACGGGGCAGGGAATTGATTTCCTTGGAAATCCGGAGATTTCCAATTTTGGAATTTGAGAACCTGGATCATCCCTGCTCCCTCACCCTGAGCTGGGAAGGTGATCCTGGCAAAAAGAGGGAGCAGAAATCCCTGAGGACCCTTTGGATCCTGCCGGAGCTGCCCCGTCCCATCCCGGAGCCGCGGATCCTTCGGGAAGAGCCGTTCCTGCCTCTGGCTGCTCCGTGGGAAGGGTGCTGGAGACCCGGGATAAAATTATCCCAACCTCCCACGGGGTCCGGGAGCTCGCAGCCGGATTTTAAGGAGACACGAACACGCCCGAGCTGGGGTTGGTTCCTCTGGAATAATTTATGGATTCAGTGACGTTAAATGCCATGGGAAAACCCATTCCCGAAATTTGGCAGGAGCATCCTCCCGGTTTGTTAGGAAAAAGTGGCAAATCCAGGAAAAATCCCAGGAATGTGCTGAGTTTCCCTCTCTGTTGGCAGTGCTGGAATCCTGGAGGTGCCGGAGCAAACCTTGGGATCATCCCATGGGAATGGGCTCCGTGGCGGCTGCCACCGGCTGTGATTCCAAAGGATTTCCATTTGTTTTTCCTCTGGAAGCAGGGCAAAACTCATTCCGAGGAATCACAAGCTCGGCACATCCCAGGAAAACCAGGATTTGGAGAGATGGGAGGTTCCTGCAGCCTCGGGAAGCTGCCAGCACTCCCAGGGCTGGAATTTATGGGAACAGCTGGGAAAAATCAGAGCTGTGCAGCCAGGGAGGAATTTTCTGGAATTTTCCAAAGGTTTTCCTTCCCCACTTTGTGCTGGCAACTCTTCCTCTTCCCCTTGAAATCAAGGAAAAACCGGAATTCAAATAAATCCCAGCTGGATTTATCCAGGAGCAGCTCCCAGCACCGGATGGCCCAGGAGTGTCCAGCTGGAATTCCTGAGGTCTTTCCTGATGTTTTCCTGGATGTGCTGGGAGCTCCCAGCCCTGATCCCTCAATCCTTGGAATGCTGGAGTGGGAATTCCCACATTTTGTCCCTTTCAAGGCGGTTTTTATCCAGACCCATCCCAGTTTTCCTCTGGCTTTGCCGAGGAGATTCCTCAGTGTCCCAAGTCTGGGCAGGAATGGGAATTCTGGTTGGGAATTCCTTTGGGATGAGGAAGAGGAGGCTCCTGCTCATCCCATGTGGCCGATTCCCAGGGGGGGAAGGGAGAACAGGGAAAAGGGAAGGATGGGAATAGAAATTCTTCTCTGGGAATGTGGATTCCAAGGCATGGGAACACCTGGAAAAGGAAGGGATGAGAGTGGG